TTCCTGGCTTACTTCACTTAGAATGACATTCTCCAGGAGCATCCATGTTGCTGCAAATGGCGTTATGTTGTCAGTTTTTATGGCTGAATAGTATTCCATTGTATAAATATACCACATCTTCTTTATCAAGTCATCTGTTGATGGACATTTAGGCTGTTTCCATGTTTTGGCTATTGTAAATAGTGCTACTATGAACAATGGGGTGCAGGTGTCTGTTAAGGTGTTTTTTATGGCCCAGAATGTGGTCTATCTTGGTGAATGTTCCATGTGACCTTGAGAAAAATGTGTATTCTGCTGTTGAGGTAGTCTGTAGATGTCTGTCAGTGATCCAGTTGGTTGATGGTGTTGTTGAGCTCAACTATGTCCTTGAAAAGATACCATAATTAAAGACTGAACAGAGAGCAAAAAGAGAATTAAAATAATAGAATTTTAAAAACAATTCTGGAGAAGAGTCAAAAGATAAAAATCTCTCAGAAAATAGAAAAGACAATATGAGAGAAGAAAGAAGAAAACCAGAGGATCAGTACTGCTCTCTCTGAACTGCCATTTATCAAATGCTAGGCTTAATCAGAATTCCAGAGAGAACTGAGAAAATGGGAAGACATCTCTCAAGAAACAGTTTTCTGGAACCGAAGGATGTATGTCTCCACCCTGCGGCACAATGAATAATGACACGTGGTAAGGCACATTCAGACCTTTCAGAACCTCAGAGCAAAAATGCCATGAACTTCTCCACAGCATTACCAAAGATTAGAATACAAGGGAGTAAAAATGGTTTTCTTACATAAAAATAAAAGATTTTCAACTTCAAGTTTTATGACCCAAACTATTACATACGTGTACGAACTAAATAAAGAAATTTTCAGACAGATAGTGTCTTAAAAATGTTAACTCTAGTGACTTTTTAAAGAAGGTCCCTGTGGATATGCTTCACCAAATGAAGGGTAAAGGAACTATGAAGGAAGACATGGGGTCCAGGAATCAGGGAATCTAGCCCAGGACATGGCAGAGAGAATTCCCAGAAGTGCTCTGCTGCAGATCTAGAGAGCAAACAGCACTCAAGCAGCGGGATGAAGGGAAGTGTACAGAAAAAAGAGGAACTGGCACACTGAGCTGGGGAAGAATTAGCAATTGGTATACATAGAAAACTAAGCAAATGGAAAGAATAGGGCAATTATTAACTCCAT